ATACTTTACTATCCATGAATTTAAATTATTAAGATGTTCCTATATGAATCATGAATATAATTAAACATAAATTTAGCGACAGAAACTTTTTATTATTATACTCTTTGAAATAGTTTCGATCGGTAAACTAACTTATCTATCATAATTAGCATAAATAAACTGACACAAAAGCTTTTATCACAGTAGAGTTTGAAAGATCAACCTTGTATGCTTTCCAAGAAAATCGGTTCATTTATTTTAAGTATTACATTCAGAAAAAAATCATTGTAATATTAAACAGTTGAAGAAAATCAACAGAAGGCCATGAAACTTACGATTAAAATATATGTGCAATCTTGAAAGGGATGTTAACCTGAAAACTTGAACCTACTTTACTTATTATATTTGATAAGAAAGACGTTCACACTGATCTATATGGCAAAACATGATTGAGAGAACGCTATCAATATCAATCACTACTCGATAACAGATCAGTATAGTTTTCATATGAACATATAGTAAAGATGGAGAATTATTCTAAACTAGATAAAACTGCATAGTTGTTCTTGTGATTGTTTGTAACACCGAAATAGTACACGTACTGACGATCACGTTAGGGGTTTGATGAACCAGTAACATTCAAACAACTGAATTAAATTCTGTAAGTTGACATTTTACAATGTTGGTCAATTCTCAACACCATTAATTATAAAATTAAAAATACTGAATATTCATCTCATCTAATAGTAAAATAAATTCTATGAATAAAAATTTAGTGTCATATTCATGACAAGGTTTCTGATTTCTGACTACAATTTGAAAAAGAAATTAAACCTAAAATTTAATGGCAGTGTGTTACAGTTTCGTTTTTTTCTCCTTTCTCTCTCTCTCTCTCTCTCTCTTTGTCGCTATCTACTTCACGAATTTCAAACTTCTGGGACTTATTTTTTATGAATTCATGAAATTTTAGCAAACTGATCTTTCATCTGATGATTCCCAAGTTGTCAAATTTCTTTGAATCCATATACGATCATTAGTTGCTGAGTTTTTAAAATGAAAAATAGTTGATAACCAACAATGTGATCCATACTTAGAATTCATCCATACATACAAATATAGATGAAGTTAAGATTAAATCTGTTCCCAATGTTATGAACAGTTTGTTGTGTAGGAAAACACTAAAAATATCTGTGTGGCTTAGTTATTACTAGTCATGTAACCGGGAGACAATTTTAATTTCTTCCTGGGAAATGATTGTGTTTTATAACAAAAAAAACTGATCAGCAACACAGTAGAAGTAATGTAATGGAATGTATGACATTCTCGATTTTCGGTTTATCTTAAAACAGTGAAGATTTACGAATTATTTATAGATTTTTAAATGTATAGTCGCAAGTTCGAAACAAAGTAGGGAAAAATCAGGATCCTCAAATTCAACACAGAGAACACCAACCTATTCACATTTGATGGAGAAGCTCTGGAAGAAGTGGAGTCTTTCACGTACCTGGGAAGCACCATCAATGAACAAGGAGGACCGGATGCGATAGTTTAGTAACATATGGAACTCAAAACAACCTCCAAGCAACATCAAAATGAGAATCTTCAGTATGAATGTCAAGACAGTTCTACTGTAGACCTGAAACTACTACAACCATCATCAAAATAGTACAACTATTTATAAACAATTATCTACGCAAGATATTTGATATCCGTTGACCGGTTACTATCAGCAACAACTTACTGTGGGAGACAACAAACCAGCTGTCGATTGAAGAAGAAATTAGGAAAAGACTCTGGAAGTAGATAGGACATATATTGGGGAAATCATCAAACTGCATCACGAAGCAAGCACTAACTTGGAATCCTGAAGCGAAACTTTTACGTTCATAGACCTTTCACTACTGATCCAGTTTGATTTTCAGGTTTTCCAGAAAGAAATATCCTTATGCATTGAAAAAAGTCAGTAAATATTTAAAAAACCAGTTCATTGCTAGTGGTAATAACGTATTATCTTGTGAATAATTTTTGTTGATTTTTATTTAATCATATTATAAAAAATTTGCAGATTTTCTTATGACTACCACGTTTTACAAGGTGCATACATAGAAGAAAAACATTCGCTTTGTCACTGATATTTTTAAACCGGTTCATTCTTCCCTACAATATTATCATATTTGGAAAATTAAAAATTCTTAAACAAGTAAAAATCTAAATATCGAACTATTGTTTACTTCTCATGTAATTAATCTTGTAGTACGTGCATAAACAACAATTTCAACACGTTTCATATATAGTCAGTTGGTGTGAAGTGTCAAACTTAGACAAATTCTTAATAAGATATATCAGAAAACATTCATCAGGATTTCCTCACTCATTTTCTCACATATTTATCTTTTCTATTTAGTCTATCTTCAGTCTTTGAAAGAACTAGTTGCTATTAATACATTTATTAGAAGTATAACTCAGTTGGGGAAAAATATTTTAGACAGTTATAATTATCATGATAATGTTTATACCAAGTATTTATTGCTTTACACAATTCATTACATTTCTACACAGTAATCTATTTAGCAAATTGATTTTTATTGATATCGTAAATTGATCTAAGTTAGATAACCACTAAATACTTGTAAGCACTGTATGGTGAATTTGTCCTAATATGGGACTCCTTGGCAATGGACATCCATGACCCGACAATCGGGAATCAGACCTGAGACCTTCAGCCTTGCCTATGAATGCTTAACCAATAGACTACGGAGACCGGATCTAATGGTCCTCGATTCCTGGTTGTGGAGTCATGGGTGTGCACTGCTGATGAGCCCCATGACCGGACGAAACACCCGTCCAGCGCCTTTAGGCTTTCAATAGTTGTCTAACTCGAATAGGTTCATGATCTTAATAAAAGTCAATAATCTCCACAACCTCATATTAAAAAGTGATTTTTTGCTATTCAGTTTAGTACTAAAACAGTAATTTTTCCATCTGTCAACAATATGAATAATTTCCTAATGGTAATTGATATTTAAAACCTAGATTCAGGATATCCTACGAGCTACGACCAAGCAGATAAAAGTATAGTACACGTGACTTCGAGTTAATTAGACTAACAGCCATAGTGAAATTTGGTTAACAGAATTCTATCAGAGATAAAAAGTTGTTAGACAAACATGACACTGATAAAATTTAAAACATCATTGATTTTTTTCGCATTGGTCATTATTACTCGCTGATACATTTATGTGCAACTAATCACGTTTGTATTGATTTCCCACTTGGGTAACAGTAAACATCAGATTGGTTTTTTTTAATTGCTAACTAACAACAAATATTAAAATTCAATATTATTATTGATAATATTTTCCTTAAATAGTTACTAGAAAAAAGAAAACTATTTCATACTCGTTTATATTATGCTTATTTTAAATATTGTAAACCTTGGATTATATCAATGATGGAATAAACTATCTATTTTTGTGTGCAGACCTTGTTACTATTTAGTTATTAATACGAAGCAAATAAATATCTCTTTTTTCTTCCTACTTCAAGAAATTTATTTAACAGTAAACTATTTAAATAATCTGTTATAATCATATTGTTAACTATCGAAGTATATGTAGAAATCACTTCAATGTACATTTTCTAAAATAGGATATTAACATCAATAACTATGGTAGTAACCACAGCAACTAACTTAGATATAATTATAAAATATTTTTGAATATTTTTAGCACTTAATTTGAACTCACCATTGTTTCTAACTTGATAAATATACTTTGACGAAGATGATTATAATATTTTTTTACCAATTAAATTAGTACGAATTGTAATCGTGATTAAATGTTTATACAAATTAGTTTATCTAATATGTCAACCTTATTACTACCGTTAAATGAAAATATGGTATGAAGTTACTTTTGAATTACTTATTAAGACAAGTCAGTTGTTGGTATTGTAGAGCCTGATATGTATTTCTGTTCGTTCAAGTTGTCACATCTTGTTAGTACAGGGGAGCGAAATTACCAAGACAAATACCAGAGTATTAGAAGTATTGCTGAATCAGTGATAGTATTGTGTATCTTACTTATGTCAACAGATATAAGTAGTACTTAACGATAATCAGAAGTTGAATGGCTGGCAGCAGAAAGCTAAGAAGAACAAATTGAACAGAATAGAAGGGAAAATAGAAAGGAACTGTGAACTTGAAGAAACGTACAGAATATTAAGGAAAAATGATGGAAATTCGCAAATGAAGCATTTAATGTATGGTTTTCACATTTTACCAAGATACTCTGCAACGGAATTACACGTGAGAACAATTAAAAATCAGAGTGAATGAAATCGCTCAATAATATTCATCGATGATCCATTATGATAAATGTACTTAAAATTTTCAAGTTTGAAAGTCAGATTAAAGGGATTCATTTTTTTAAAAGCTTCAAAATAAACTTATCTTCTGTAATTAATTCTATGGGTATTTCTCAATAAATACGGTTAGATTTCATTTTATAGGAAATTGGCAATAAAGTTCAAAAAGTTATTTGAGCTGATTAAACTGAAGACTGGTGTTTTTCATTATTATCATTGTCTCCTCTTACCCTCCATTTCTAGTCCAGTGGACCTTTTATTTTTCTATCTAAATGTTTGTAACAAGTATATGTGTAATTAGTTTGTTCGAAATGTATTGAGCTAATATACCACATAGTTTCGATAATCTTCGTCTTCTTATTATACTATCAAAATTTATCAAATGAACTAATTGCTTTAAAGAAATCCTAGTTATCTTTCTGCGGGATCTTATATGGTGAGTTGAATAATGTGGAAACATAAAAATATAAATTAACCTCTTGCATATCCTCATTTAAATCAATCGGAGCATATATCTATATATACACGAGTCTAAAGTATTATTATCATTATTACTGTCATTATTATTATTATTACTTGGCTTTTGGCAGTAAAATTTCCCATACACCCCTATTCTTTCATATTACAGCTAATTAGTTGACAATAAATATCTAAAACTAAGTACAAAATAACTTGTCAATAAGTTTTTTTTTCGATGTTACTTAACACATTCATTAGAAAAATCATTTTGAAATAAAAACTCCCATTAACCACTTAACCAATATTTGAATTCAATGATCAATTACGAAAATTTATATATTTTTTTGGAAAAAAAGACAAGAATATTTACTTTTGTTTATTTAAATGTATAGTATTTAGATAGAAAAAAATATGTTCTCTAAAATTAAATAACATTTTGTACAATAGTTTTAGGTTTAAAAAAGAAAAGAAAAAAATAGTTTTCTTATTGTTAAAAATTTTTTCTGTAAAATAAAATCAATAATCTATTTTAATCCTTGGGTTATCTTTATGCATTATACAATATTGAAATGTTTACTTCTGAGAACATAATATCATTGTTGATTATGTACAGTTTAAATTACTGTTAGTAAACATTTTTTCAATGGAATGTCTAATCTAAATATGGTCTCCACATTGGTTTGACAATATTTTTTATAGATGTCTCTGTATTCTCAGGTATAGTTGGAATAGATATAGAAGAAGGATTTATATTTTTACTTGTTTTAACTGATTTTTGACTTTGATAATATTGATTATTATGTGTAAAATTATTTGTAGTTAATTGATTTGTGATAACAGTAAGTGGTTTTCTTGTTGGTACACTAAATGCTGATAAATGTTCTCCTGACATTAATTGCGTTGATGATAACGATGATGACCACGATGGTAAGTTTTTCGTTTTTAAATTACACAACATTGAAGATGACTCAGTGGAGAGAACGTTAAGGTCACTAATAGTGTTCAGTCTATGATGTTCGTTAAAAATAGGCATCTTCTTCTTATGAATTGTTAATTTTATCGATTGGTCATTACTACTAACGAAACCACTATTAGAATTATTCACTGTTGAGTTGAATTTATTTAAATAATGTAAAGGTGTTGATTGACATTGTATTATTGTTTCATTATTCTGTGAATTAATCATACTGTTCATATATAAATTATTCACTGGTATAGAAGTAGGTGTTTTAATCATTGATGATGTGATACAATCATTAATAGGATAATTATTAGATAATAAAGGATTTTTAATAATTAACTTAGGTATTCGATTCTCTTTATTGTTTTCATCTGTGCTTTGATTCGTATCATTATGTGTAATTGACGTTGTTAAGTTTTTTGGTGTACTGGATAAGGAGATAGTGTTGTTCAAGTACGGATATTGCCGTTGCTCTTGAGGACGATGATGATGATGATCCTGAAGACCATTATCTTGGTTCTCTTGGAATTGATATATCTCTTGAATCTTTCCATTCTGAGAATTATGTTCATTATTATCCCATTTGTTTATTTTATCTGTGTATTCATTCGAGTCATTTGTTGTAAGTAATGCTGATTTGTGTGGCAGTGAGGTAGTACAAGAAGACGACTCAATTAAATTATGACGCAATTTTCTTAAACGTGTTTGTAATTCTGTAAGTAAACAGTCACGTATGAATAGAATGATTAGTATTAAAATATAGTTTAAAATAAAAAGGTTATTTTATATAATTATTGTAAACTCGAGTATCAGTAAAGATATGATCTGATTTTACTTGATACATAGTAAGGTTTACATATTATCAACCTTTAAACATTGAGCATATAAGTTTCTTTAGACATAGGACTCCTCAGTAGTAATCATAGACAACCACATCGAGGCCTGAACCTGAAATCTCCAGGTCCCAAACCAATCAATCATCCTTTAATCTACTAAGTTCCAATGGTTTACATTTCTAACTTTAATCACACGACACCCAGATTGGATCGTAAATGCTTACACCTAAAGAGTCTCATAGTGAGAGAATTAGTTATTCGATAGTTAGTTCTCTAATATAAACTATAGAATTTTTACCATAAACTGGCAACAACTAAAAACTAGTTAAGATCGTAACACATAGAAGTGGTGTATAATTTAGGAATAAAAAGAAAAATATCATCGATAACACTGATTAATTGGTGAATAAATCAATCTAGACCATGAATTACAATTTGATAGTTTAAAATAAATCGCTTCTCTTTTGTAAACGTGTAACCTAAACTTGTAACAACATAACGAATAGATAAAGTTTGATTGAATGGAAGTCATTGTTGATGTATGTATACATCTTTTATTAAACTGCTTATCTTTTAAATTTTTCCCTTAATGCAACAAAAGAATAGACAATAAAATTATCAATACAATAGTAAAAGTGATCATAATTTCAAATATAAATTAAATTGATCATACTCGAGAATAAATGCCACTTATCTACTTACCAGGTTCATCTTTAGCAATGTTAGCAATTCCTTTAAATACACTGTGACATAGATTTAATATATCGGCTTTTTCGACTTTATGACATTCATGTGGCTGTAATACCAAAAAGAAGAGAGATAAGAATGAAGAACACAAAGAAAATTATATAAAAGACAAGGTTAGTATATTCTATCAACCAATTTATTTCATGCATAAATATGCAACACGATATTGTCAGTTGATAAATGTATAAAACACTAAAATCTACTTGATCATGTTGATTTAAATAAAATAAATTATCAGTATAGGGTTGTGGAGATTGTTGAGTTTTTTATTGAGATAATTGATCAAATCATGACTTCAATGGGATTCAATAACCTCCACAGCCCCGAACCGAAGTTTCTCATGCACTCCCGAGTGACTAGCTTCGAGAGTGAATTCTCGGAATTCCAATAAGAAGCCGTTGTTAGTGTTAAAGATTCCAAATGGTGTCTCTAGATTTATTAGCTCAGGCTAGAATGCACTAAAGTTTTAAGCGAAAGGTGCTATATTCGAATGTTATTATAAATATTAACACTAGGTTGCATGCACATCTTATTTAATGAGTCTCAGATAAGAAGAAATAAGTGTCCTTAATTCCATTGTAATCTGTTATATGATTTCTTTATATAGAGAATTATTCCTACAAATGTAGAGCATCATTTACCCTGAACCGTGTATAATGAACTATGGTACTATATTTATTTGTAATATGTCTATTAACAGATGAAATTGAAAGCAGATGTCAATGATTCCGACTAATTGCTATTTAAAAATTTATTTCTGTTATTTCTAAAAAAAAATAACCGAGTGAATTAGTTAGGCTTGTGACATAAAAATGTAAAACCAAAATATATGTTTAATTGATATAGGGAAAATGACAAGTTTCAAAATATGAATATCTTCCTAACTTCTGTGATGAGAAAAGTTACCATAGTAACTAAATATGTCATCGTAAGTGTATAGACGTATCGATAATATTCTAGCAATAAACGTTTGTTGAAAGATAACACGTGATGATAGCGCTTATAATCTCATAAAGTGAACAGTTGTCATTTGTTGACAAAACGGAAATAAATTTATTCGCATTACCGAAGAGGGTTTTTAGAAATTACTGAATTTTATAATTTACATTTCAGTCTGATTTTAGATCGACAACTATTGGAAAGCAAGAAGCAATGAACAGCAAGTTTATCTTAGTACGAAACAATACAGAAATAGGTCCCAGATAAGGTCTTGGATACCAACTACTGTGTAGTACCATTACAGAAGTAAACGTCTATCTAACTCTACTTTTCACTGTTTGTCTAACCAAGATCAGTCTATATTGTACACTATGAAATATAATTCCAATGAATAAATCGATACGATTTAAGTGTATAAACGAAGGAGAGTAAAAGAAAAAACTATTACAACAGATCTAAGTTTAATTCGTCTAATTTGTATTTTAGCTAACGTTACTGTATAAATTGTATAAAGATATAATATAATAAATTTTTTAGCCAGTTTATATGTACAAAAAGGTCAGAATGAATAGTGATTAGAATACCAGTAGATTAAAGAGAATGAATAAAGCTGATAAGGGATTAATGATAACTATTTAAAAATCAATCGATAAAGAATAATGAATGATAAGTAAATTTTGAAGAAAGTCAAAATGTGTCGGTGAGGTTATGCATCTATTTTATGCAAAATAAATAATGATCTGAATCACTTAATCAATTTAGTGTTAATATAACCAGAATAAAATACAATTATCAACTGTTAAAAAATAAAACTATTATTTTGAAATAAAAATAGAATACTTACATCGATTCCAATTAGATTCATTGCTAAATTATGCAATGCATTCATTTTATCGGAGATACATGCACGTCGTCTACGTTCCATATTTTGTTTCTTCAACTGTTAGCATAAAAGAAAATGAAGTCATAATTTATTTATTCATTTGATTGAATTATTTGTTTATTGAATTTAGTAAAGATTCTTACAATTCTCGTTAACTGATCACAATTACTACTCGATTATCAAGACTCAGTATTGCTATAAAAATTACACACGTTATATAACATTTTCAGATATCATTATGGAGATTTGTGGAGATTATAGCATTTAAGTTGAATTCATGAGTCAATCTAAGCGAGACCACTATGGAAAACCTAGAAGCACTGGATGACCGTTTTGTCGTAGTATGTAACTCGTGAGCAATACACACTCACAATCCAACACTCAGGATTCAAACTCGGGGCCTTCGGTCTCGCGCGAACACGTAACCTTTAGACCACTAATCCGGCATCCAACGGTGTCAACGTCAAACTTCAATTAATCCATGATCTTTCTTTACCTTTCACTCATTGTCTGCAGTGGAATGTGTTTTAACTCCAATGTTCCATGAAATTCTAACCTTGAAATTTATCAGTCACTGTGTTAATACCGAATTAAGTCTTCTTTCATATAATTAAATCACTTATTTCGTTATTAACCAAACATTGTTTCGAAAGGTCATATATCAGTTTAACCACTGTTCTCTAATTCAAGTCATTTGTGCATCATGGTCAATTGATGCCTACAACCTATATAACCTGAGAAATCATCTCCATTGATTATAAATGTAATTAACATTATTGATACAACATAAATTAAAATAAAACCTAATTTTTGTTTGTTTGAACAATATATTGTTTAAGATAATGTACATATAATGTACAATAGGCAATATTTTCATTATATAATATCACTAATAGCCATATGATGACCTATTTATTTCGACACAAATCAAAATATTTCAACTTAAACTTTACGAAATACAGAAATTTTATTTCATTTACTATTGTTTACTAACGGTTTATACCTGTCAGATTAAATTAAAATTTTGTTCGCGTACTCAATATGTCAGAATACTGAAGAATGAAATGCTTTCAGATAGGTCAATTAAACAGAATCGAAAATAAATATTCTCATGTCATCTAGTAGAGAATATTTGACTATAGTCATACAGTTAAGACAACAAATACTTTATAATAGCAAGAACAACACTACTACGTAAACTCACCCGACGTGTCTGTTCTCTAATTTCAGGTGGGACATTTGATCGTCTTCCTCTTTTAGAGGGAGCATTACTTTGTAAAACTAAATTAGATCCTGTTGTTTGTGTTTGTAATGTGTCGCAAGTAGATGTATTATAAATAGGTGGTACACGTGTGTAGTTTCCGCATATTTCAGTCCGAGGAATCATAGCGATCATGACAATGTGAAGTCGGTACATTCAACTTCATTTATAGTCTTTTTGTTTGCGCATGCTAACTGATAAGCCAATCATATTTACAATAAATGTCATGTGGTAGCAATCAATTGTTGAATTATCGCATGGAATAGAAACCACCAATGAAAAAATTAACCGCGTGCTCTCCTACGCACGTGATCCCCGAGCTTAAATCTGATTGGTTTACTGGTGGCCAATTATTTGCCAGTACAGTAGGGGTGACCCACAGATAAATTCTTGTCATGCGTAAGTTAAAATTTGAAATTTCAAGTTTCTACGTCTGTCAACATAATGAAACATTATTTTTTAACATAAATGTTGCAAGCAAATGTCGAGTGTAAGCGTACAGAATAAAACCTTACTTAAATTAAAAAAAATAATACAAGATGTATAATTGTTTGAGAATATGAAAAATGTAAATAGTTCTAGTACTAGATTTTATAAAGGTAAACAGAGACTTTGTGAATGAAATCAACATCTGTTTTATGTATCTAAATTATAGTTTTCGATATAAAAAATCCCAAACGAATCAGGTTATGAGGCAATCTCACCTATTCATTAAGTGTTGTTTGCTTATATCTTCCCATTGTTACTTGGGACAACAATTGATCAGTCCCTTGTTGGCATATGTATATTCAGATTGCCTCAATATTTCCTTAAGTTACAAGCTTTATAAGCAATGACGGTCAGTGGCTAGCAGTGGAATACATGACCCACGTTCCGTTCAATTCGAGACTCGTCAGCTGGATGTGCCTGCATTCCAGATTTGATGTTCACTCCGGCACTCCAATCCAGTATCGTTAACTTCAAACGCCATCGCGTTATCCTCTTAGCTACTGAGTCCTTATAGCCACCTGCTTGTGCAATGTGGTGAAGTTTAAATTCACTTGGTGTTGTTTTTACTTTTATCTTCCCATTGTTATTTAGGACCGCAATTAATCAGTCTCTTGATCTCTCTCTTATCCTATATTAATGATCTGAATTGCTCGACAAGCAATAAACAATTAGCATCGTGTTCTGCCAGTCATTGAATATTAGAATAAACGATCAAATGTGTTGCAACTACATACATTCTTTGCTTTACTCCAAGTACTAAACATTTTATGGATTCACATCAATACTGAATGACAAGTAATTTTTTAGAGATGAATTTAAATATGGCCAGAGCCACTTAGATTTTGACAAGTTTATAAATATCCGTAAAACCTATTTTGCTTTAATGAAATACATTTTTTTAATTGATACTCAATAAATTTACATTTCTCTATTTCGCAACTTTTGAAAATCAGTTAATTAAATTTCTATCTGATAATAACAGGATATGTAAATGGGATACAATGATGGAATAATAGTAGTAGTCATAATAATGATAATAATAATAAATCACTCGTCACTAATCAAGGTTAAACTTAATGTATTGAGTTTTCAAGTAAAATAATTACCAATCACATATGATTTGATTTTTCTGATAAATACTCTTCAATACTTATACGTAATTCTATGTAAACACTCAAGTAAAAAGTCGTACTAATCGGAAGATATAAAAACTGTGAGTTCAATCTCACATTCAATCATTTGAATAATTTAAATCTAGGATAACACAACTATTTATTATACTCTATTTCGTTATAGTTACACAACATTTACCGATCAGTAAAATAAAGTTATCTCTAAACAAATATAATTTTTCATACTGTATCAAACATAATTTTCTAAGATAAAAATTACACTAAATTCAAATTTCTTCACTTGACAAAATAATCTTGACTGGTAGTCATTTATTTCCATTTATAATCAGATATTGGTTTAAAGATAGATCTCTTCAAAAACTGTCATCAAATAAAGAATCCTGTCAGAGACTGTACATTGAGAATCTATTCTTATATAAAAATAAAATTTTCACAAATATAGAATACTAGATGTTTAAAATGAATACTATCACTTAAATAGTATAACATTTATAATTGAGATTATAATTTCATTAAGAAAATGATAGTCTAGAATTTGTCATTGAAAAAACAAACTACAAAATATATAATATTGATAAATAATACATACCCAACGAATTTAATAAATATGAAAGAAGAGTGGTAGGGGGTTGAGCATATGAACAGTCCATGCAAATACCCATTCATCATGAAACAACTAAGGTATCATCACACAACCACAAACTATTGAATAAAATCGTGTGATTTTTCTTCATCTATTAAATTGACATATATTTTATTAAAATGTAAAAAAACACTTCTAACTGGAACGGAATAGTGACTACTATTTTTTTTCTTTAAAACATCACATGCAGGTGTAAAATTTGGGGGGGGGCTTAAAATTTTTTTAAATAGACAAATAGAAATTTAAACAAAGTTAATTTTAAAGTTTAAACGATTAGATTCCATTATAATCAATGGCTTTAATGTCCATCTTCACTTTAATAATTGATTTAGGTAAAATTGTATTATTAATCTATAAACTTTAATTCATTGTCACATAAATATATCAATCTGAAATGTAAAATGCTGAGCATTGATAAATGTATAGATTGATTTCTCCATTGTAGACAAAAATGAAATGACATATACATGTATTGGTATTGAGTTAGTCATGTTAAGGTTCTATTTGAGATGTCAGTGCAAGATATCAAACCTTGATAATCAGCTTATAAACTTCTGTTGACTAAAGTTATTAGGATATGAGTTATAAATGTAAGTTGTATGGAAAGCAAAAGTAGACAAATATCATTGTATGAATTTATGAAGAGCCAAGTCAATACTCTTGAAGTTCCTGGTTAACGCCGGTTCATTAATAGGGATCTATGATTGATAATATTGAATAACGCAAAGAGAGATATCGATCGAGTTAGCGTGGTCGCGTACATTTTCTGCTGACTTTGATGCTTTACTTTTAGTCTTATTTCATTCTTTATACTCTTCAGTTTTACTTATTCCTTCTAATTTACACTTCGCATGTTTAACTTGTTACAATTTATACCATAACAATTTATGAGGTAGTTAAAGATGTCAGCAAGAAACCGTAGAACCTGAATTATTGCTGATTAACACTTTCAATAACATGGCGTACCTGTAATTTTTAGTCAGCTGATGTTCTCTGGTGGATGAGAATTCTCGCCACTCCGTCTCACACCGAAACGTTAAGAGTTAGTTGACCTCCCGTAGAATTGATATATTTAAAATTCTTTAGTCTTTGATCGATGCAGTGTGTGTATGCTCCTATATATTGATCGAATTCTATTGATTAAGCTATCGTATGATCACTACTCTAAATGAGTGAAACTCAGTCTTTAAGACGACCATAAATCAGTATGAAACATAGACCCAAGGTATCCTATCGACTACCTTCAATCAACGTAACATAGTCCACAATGTATCGAATCATTCAAATCAGTGGAAACCTTTCAAATTGATTGATAGAACTAAACAAACATGACATTTGTCTATACTAAATGACTAATCAATTATGAATTGTAACAATAATTAAGTATTCATTGAGTAAAATAGATAAAATTATCGGTTAATTTTAAATCTAAACTCAAGTTGATTTGTTTCTTCCATGTTTTTCATTTGTTTTCAATTCATCCTACATTTTATTTTATAAAGGTCTGTAATTATTCAAATACCACCAACTAAAATGTACATTATGAACAGAATAATAAAAATCGGTAATCTCTGATCTATAAATGAAGTTAACAAAAAACAAAAACACTTAACCGTTCATAATACTATCACACTAATATTATTACCATTATTATTATTATTATTATTACTATTATTATAAGTGGCTTACCATTATGTCAAATAAAAGAATTTCAATGAATTACGCTTGTTTTCATTTGTAACAAATGAAGAAATATACACATTTCATGCTTTATAGTTTGGTCAGTTCTAAATAGATTGTGGAAGAAAGTTGGCATAATAATGCTGATGATGTAAATCATCATGACCATTATAATGATTTGTTTAACTTGATCAATAATGACCAAATCAATTGAACCATGAATACTTTTTTAGGAAGAAAAATAGCTTTAACATTTTAAACATTTCATCCTGACACATTATCACACATACCAAATGATATACATGAGTGATATTTTGTGAGATTTGAGAATGTTCAAAATTAATTTTTATTACAACACGACGTACACTAAAGAATCATTAAAAATTGAGGTATTCTGATCTTGTGAGTTAAGACATTTCAGTGATGTACATTTACAAAAACAAACTCAAGACATTAATATAAAGTGATCGTTACTATTTTTATACACTGAGCTAATATTTATTGATTTTTCACTTTCTACGATCAATTACCCCTCTTAATGTAAATCACTTTGATATTTCCATAAAATGTTTACAAATGCACTGAAGAATCAGTCGTGTACTTGCTGATAGATGTAATTATGATACTAATTTAAAGAAATTCCAATTAGAATCACTTTAATATAGTCAAATAATGTGACAAGGCAAGAACTAAATGAAAACGATATCAGATGGGAATATCCTAATCATATTAACCGACTGAAGTTGAACGAACGAATCAATTAATTTTCAAACAATAACTAAGTGAAAAGTTTAGAAGAGGCCTACTTATATAATTATCTAGACAATATAAGTCTGCAGTGTTTCTTTGATTTCAGTGATTACTCTCGTTTTGGATATAAGTAATATATTACGGGACATTTTAGTCTTTGTTTCTTATCAAGCTAAAAACTAGACATTTCAGAATAAGTTTACTCAAATAAAATTTTGTTATTAGAGTAAACTCTTGATAAAATAGATAATAACAATGGTTACTAAGATAAATAATGACATTTCGATGATGATACAATCAACTTGATGAGTTTCTTTGAAAAAATTTGAAATCTTTTTGACATCCGGTTTACATACGAATAAATATTGTTGAGATCAGTTTTAAAATCGTAAACCATGTTTAGTGCTTATTATTCACTTTGTTTCTAAAGC